CAGCTCTATAGATTGCTCCGCGTCAGCTTCCAGCTCCACAGTACAACAAAGACACCAGTTCTCAGCTGCACTGCGCACTACAGTTGTACGCTCTACAGATACTCCGCGCACCAAAGTTGCACTACAAAGTCGCCAGTTTTTATCGCCCAGCTCGCCAGACACTCCGCGCACCACAGTTGCTGCAAAAGTCACCAGTTCTCAGCTTCCAGCTCCCCAGATGCTGTGCCTGCCACGAAATCTGCACATGGAGGTTCACAAAGTGCTGCACCTGCCACGAAATCTGCACATGGAGGTTCACAAAGTGCTGCCCCTGCCGCGAAATCTGCACATGGAGGTCACAAAGTGCTGCACCTGCCACGACATCTGCACATGGAGGTTCACAAAAAGCTGCGACCATGATCCGAGCATGACCCGAGACCATCTCGCACCCGTCGTTCCGGAAACCTTGACCTACCAGCTTTGGAGCCATCAGCTCCATTGAAAATACAGCATTTCGTGCGTTCCCTATCTCTCCACAACGCATTTTGTGTTGCGCCTGCCACAGAATCTGCCCATGAAGGTGCACAAAGTGCTGCACCTGCCAGGAAATCTGCGCATGAAGGTTCACAAAGTGCTGCACCTGCCACAAAATCTGCACTTCAAGAAAAAGATGAAAACTCTAACCCCAATGGACGGACGATTCGGAGCATGATCCGAGTGTGACCCGAGACCGTCTCGCACCTGTCGTTTCTCAAACCTTGACTTGCCCGCTTCGGAGCCATCTGTTCCATGGAAAAATACAGCATTTCGTGCGTTCACTATCTCCACAATGCATTTTGTATGCGCCTGCCACGAAATCTGCACATGGAGCTTCACAAAGTGCTGCACCTGCCACGAAGTCATGGAGGTTCCCAAAGTGCTCTGCCTGCCAGGAAATCTGCACATGGAGGTACATACAAAGTGCTGCACCTGCCACAAAATCTGCACATGGAGTTTCACAAAGTGCTGCACCTGCCACGAAATATGCACACGGAGGTTCCCAAAGTGCTGTGCCTGCCAGGAAATCTGCACATGGAGGTCACAAAGTGTTTGCACCTGTCACGAAATCTGCACATGGAGGTTCAGGTGCTGCACCTGCCACGAAATCTGCACTTCAAGAAACAAGTGAAAACTCTAATCTCAATGGACGGACGATTCCGAGCATGATCCGAGCATGACCCGAGACCGTTTGCTATATCCCCACAACTCATTCTTAATTGCGCTTGCCACGAAATCTGCACATGGAGGTGCGCAAAGTTCTGTGCCTGCCACGAAAACTGCACATGGAGGTTCCCAAAGTGCTGCACCTGCCACGAAATATGCGCATGGAGGTTCCCAAAGTGCTGTGCCTGCCAGGAAATCTGCACATGGAGGTACACACAGTGCTGTGCCTGCCACGAAATCTGCACATGGAGGTTCACAAAGTGCTGCACCTGCCACGAAATCTGCACTTCAAGAAACAAGTGAAAACTCTAACCCCAATGGACGGACGATTCCGAGCATGATCGGAGCATGACCCAAGACCGTTCGCTATATCTCCACAACGCATTTTGTATTGCGCCTGCCACGAAATCTGCACATGAAATCTGCACATGGAGGTTCCCAAAGTGCTGCACCTGCCACGAAATCTGCGCATGGAGGTTCCCAAAGTGCTGCACTTAACACGAAATCTGCACATGGAGGTACACAAAGTGCTGCACCTGCCACAAAATCTGCACTTCAAGAAGCAAATGAAAAACTCTAATCCCAATGGACGAACGATTCCGAGCAAATACAGCATTCCGTGCGTTCCCCACGACGCATTTTGTATTGCGCCTGCCACGAAATCTGCCCATGGGGGTGCACAAAGTGCTGTGCCTGCCACGAAATCTGCACATGGAGGTTCCCAAAGTGCTGGACCTGCCACGAAATCTGCACATGGAGGTTCCCAAAGTGCTGTGCCTGCCACGAAATCTGCACATGGAGGTGCACAAAGTACTGTGCCTGCCACGAAATTTGCACATGGAGGTGCACAAAGTGCTGTGCCTGCCACGAAATCTGCACATGGAGGTTCCCAAAGTGCTGCACCTGCCACGAAATCTGCACATGGAGGTTCCCAAAGTGCTGTGCCTGCATGGAGGTACACAAAGTGCTGCACCTGCCACGAAATCTGCACATGGAGGTTCACAAAGTGCTGCACTTAACACGAAATCTGCACTTCAAAAAACAAATGAAAATTCTAATCCCAATGGACGAACGATTCCGACCATAATCGGAGCATGACCCGAGACCGTCTCGCACCCGTCGTTCCGCAAACCTTCACTTGCCAGCTTCGGAACCATCGGTTCCATTGAAAAATACAGCATTTCGTACGTTCGCTATCTCTCCACAACGCATTTTGTATTGCGCCTGCCACGAAATCTGCACATGGAGGTGCACAAAGTACTGTGCCTGCCACGAAATCTGCACCTAGGTGCACAAAGTACTGTGCCTACCACGAAATCTACTCATGGAGGTTCCCAAAGTGCTGCACCTGCCACGAAATCTGCACATGGAGGTTCCCAAAGTGCTGCACTTGACACGAAATCTGCACTTCAAAGAACAAATGAAAACTCCAATCCCAATAGACGGACGATTCCGACCATAATCCGAACATAACCCAAGACCGTCTCGCACCCGTCGTTCCGCAAACCTTAACTTGCGAGCTTCGGAACCATCGATTCCATTGAAAAATACAGCATTTCGCACGTTCGCTATCTCTCCACAACGCATTTTGTATTGCGCCTGCCACGAAATCTACCCATAGAGGTGCACAAAGTACTATACCTGCCACGAAATCTGCATATAGAGGTGCACAAAATGCTGTGCCTACCACGAAATCTACACATAGAGGTTCCCAAAGTGCTGCACCTGCCACGAAATCTGCACATGGAGGTTCCCAAAATGCTGTGCCTGCCAAGAAATCTGCACATGGAGGTACACAAAGTGCTGCACCTACCACGAAATCTGCACATGGAGGTTCCCAAAATGCTATACTTAACACGAAATCTGCATTTCAAAAAGCAAATGAAAACTTTAATCCCAATAGACGGACGATTCCGACCATAATCCGAGCATAACCCGAGACCGTCTCGCACCCGTCGTTCCGCAAACCTTAACTTGCCAGCTTCGGAACCATCGATTCCATTGAAAAATACAGCATTTCGTGCGTTCGCTATCTCTCCACAACGCATTTTGTATTACGCCTACCACGAATGTGCATATAGAGGTATACAAAATAATGTGCCTCCCACGAAATCTATATATAAAGGTTCATAAAATACTACACCTACCACGACATCTACATATAAAGATTCCCAAAGTACTATGCCTACCAAGAAATCTACACATAGAAATACATAAAGTATTACACCTAGAGCTAGAGTTATTTAAAACTTAAATTATTAAAATCAAAACTAATATATAAATAATATAATAAATAGTGTATAATAAATAATATATATTAAATAATATATAATATATAATATATAATAAATAGTGTATAATAAGTAAGATATAATAAATAATATATAATAAATGCTATATATAGTAAATAATATATAATAAATAATATATAATAAATAATACATAATAAATAATACATAATAAATAATATATAATAAATAATATATAATAAATAATATAAATAAATAATGTATAATAAATAATAATTAAATACCTATTAAATATCCTTAACATCCTTAACACGGAAGTTTTGCATACTAAATTTCCTTTAATAATTTTATCAATATACGAATTCTAATTTAAAAAATATAACATAACTAAATCAATTCAGAAATATAAAAAAAATGTATTTAGCTTTGCATCCATAATCAAAAAAATTGTTCAAATGACTTTTTTACTTTAGTTGGTTGTTCCCGGATATATAAAAGAGGAGAAAAGGTTATAGAACCTTTGAATGACCCGCCTCCACGTTCACACCTCCACTGTCTAGATAAGCTCTCCCAGCGCCGCAAACAACTCGTTACTGGCTTGCTCCACCTTTGTTACACGCTGTGCATATCCTCTGACTTTTTTCTGACGTATCTTCTGGCATTTTGCTGACATTCTTTTATTGCATATCTTCGGACATTCCTTCTGACATTCTTTTATTCTTTCATTCTGTATGGCATATTTTCTGACTCGCGGTTGAGGTCCAGCGGAGAACACTGACAGCCGAAACTCGTGGCGCAGTTGCACTGCCATCCTGCACTTGCGGTTGAGGGGAGGAAGACGAGGCGGAGGAGGAGGAGAAGGACGGCAGCTGACATAAAATCTAACAGCCCTCACCTGACAGGTGGGGAGGGAATAAAGAATATATAGGAAAAATACATCCCAACGCGAATGCCTTTACACCAGAAGAAAAGGGAGGAGGAAAAGAAGAAGAGGAAGAAGTGTCAACGGAGGACGCCGGATCAGCTTTTGTTTACGGCGTCGAAAAATACTCTGAAGTAAACACAACCTTGGATGACTTTGTCGGTGTTCTGGTGCTGGTCCGAGATGACATCATGTCATGCTGAGGACGATATTCTTTCGTATTGCTGCGTGTCCTGCCTATGGCGTCATGTCAGGGACGATATCATATCAGCCCAGGATGATATAATGTTATACCAGGAATAATCTCCGCATATATTGTGCTATTGGATATTGGGTGCTTTTTTCTTATCTGCATCATTGGCAGAGATTGACGAGGCATCCGCAGAGCACGCGCCAAGCAAACGCCGATCCAGCAGCAGCGCCAGCACACCCCAAGCAAACGCCGATCCAGCACCAGGACCTGCGACAGCACCCAGCACCAGCACCACCACGGGCAAAACGAAACACCAATCCAGAGCCATACCATTGAGAAGTAAGAACCCCTAAAGCTTGCAGCTATCTGGGGAATAACAAACAGCACCAGTAAATCATCTCGGATGGTGTCACCTTCAAACGCATCCTGGGTGTCTTTTCTGCAAGCGATGGAATCAGACTTGGGATGGCAGCCTAAGCGAGTGCAAAACAGCAAGCAACAAAAACTGACACAACAGTCAATGTTTGCAAGCTGTTGCAACTCACGTATTGTTTGGAGTCAGAGTGTTTGCAGTTAAGCTAGCTTTCTATCATGTAAACTCAGAACAAGCTTAGATGGTGATGATGGACGGGGCTGGTCAAACCGTTGGTTCCAGGATGTTCCAAGTCCTTGGAGGAATTTGCCAGTTGAACCTACTCTCCATGGCCTCCAACCTAGAATGGATATGTTCATAATTTTTCTGCAATTGATGTCTTCACTGGTGTTTGAACCCCATGAGTTACCATGAGCTAGAACGCGGCAGGCCCGGTAGAAAACAACACCATCGAACCCTCTTCATTGACTAGTAGCAAGAAGCTACTAGTAACAACGGCGTTACTATCTCTTCACACTCAGCTCCAAGCACAGCTTCCCTTCTTGCCCTGAGGAGCCAGGCTTTAAGCTCTGCAGTCTTCACACCGAAAGAAGTGATGGCTCTACTTTCATGCCCTTTCTCTACATGGTCCATGTCAAAAACACCTGGCAAAGAAAGCTTGACAGCAAGTGGTTTCCTCCGGCCTTAAGAGATGTTTTAAGAGATCACCACGTTCGTCTTCTTCACGCACTCTCAGTTGCCAAATGCCCGCCGAGCTCACGGTGATGAGCGCCGACCTCGATGACCCGGTCTCGTCTCAAAAATGGGAAGAAAGGAAAAGGCCGCCACGCTTCCTCCCAAGGCTAGATCCATCCACGAACGGTCTTTTTTTAGGAGCAAGAAGCTACCTAGGGGCTCCAAGCCATACTACTAGGAGCAAGGACGCTACTAAAATCTCCGGACATCCATTGGGTCCATTTACCTGGATCCCTCTTTGGCACCCGCTACCAACCTTTACCAACTCAGTTTCCAAGGTCCTTGGGCCCCGGGCGGCTCCGCTGCTTCCACAGCCCGGACCTCGCGGAGCTTGAGGATGTGCACAGCGCCCTCCACTAAAACGTGGAGCTGCTCTGTGGTCAGCAAGACCTGGAGTGAGGTGATAGAGCCAAGGTGATGGGGAGGCTGATAGCACTGATTGTCCCCATGCTTCCGAGACGAGCCGAGTGCCCCGCCCCTGCAGGCAACAGTCGAAGATTTGGCTCTTGATTCCTTGGCGCTTCGCCATCTAGGCAGACCTCAGATCATGAATGCCCAGGTTACACAACCTTAAGTGGACTACCATAAACCACTAAGAAGACTGTTTTGTCCTGCACATGCCAAAGGCTCCGTCCTTTCTCCAAGGAATCAACTGAATCAACAGAGCTTCTTCGGTTTCAAGTGCTTTAGCCAAGCTTTAGTGTAGCCCTTCCCCCTTGACCCAGTCATCTGAGCCACGGACCAATTCGCACCTGGGACTCCAAAAGAGTATCGCATCCAGTGAAGGAGCCTGCCGTGAAAGGCTCTTCAAGAGGATGCAACATGGGAACCCACTTCAGGAGCTTGTTCCTATGAAACGGCCAAAAAAGGCGTCCTTGCTACCAGTAGCGATGCCAGGAGCCCCTAGTAGCGTCCTTGCTCCTAGAACTTGTTCCTGTGAAACGGCCAAAAAAGACATGAGTTGCACGTCATGACTCATTTCCACATAAGAGACCCCGGACAGCTTGCACCGACAGAAAGAGATCACTGGTGCTCTCACAGTTTCGGGTGATCCACCAGGACTTGGTCTTCGCACCTGGCAGCATTGGTAGTACTTCGCCGGTGAAACATCCGGCGAGGGACGAATCGGCCAGAAGCCCAAACACGCCTGGCGGTGCGGGATGCGGTGGATGCTCAGCTTCTTTGCTCCTAGTAGTAGGGCCTGGAGCCCCTAGTAGCGTCCTTGTTCCTAGTAGCGATGCCAGGAGCCCCTAGTAGCTTCTTTGCTCCTAGTAGTAGGGGGAGCTCTGAAAAAGAGCATGTCTGAAGTTTCATCAGTTGGTGTTCTATTGTGTTCTGTCAGAATTTTCAACTCAGCACTTTGACACAAAGAGAGCCCAAAGCCTGGCAATCTGCGGGATGCCCTTGGGAGGCCTCAAGTTTTCGAGTGAGGCCTCAACCCATGGGTGAAGTATGGTGAAGTCTCACAGTTGTTTTTTGTGCCTTTTTGACCAGGTCTTTCATTCTATTTAATTCGAACCATCGATTCTTCTCTACAAGTACCATACTTGAGCGCTTTCGTGACAACGGGTACCTAATAGCGTCCTTGATCCTAGTAGCGATGCCAGGAGCCCCTAATAGCTTCTTGCTCCTAGTAGTATGGCCAGGAGCCCCTAGTAGCGTCAAAATGTCTCAATATTTCTTCAACATTCCACAATGTTCCACAACTTTCGGCAAACGCGGCGCACTCATGTCATGGTTGGCCGGAAGAGCTCCGGGCAGTATCTTGATCACTCCAAGTCCGACTGGCAGCAGTTAGGAAGTCCAAGAATCCGCCCACTGGGTGAGCAACCTCAGTGGGTCAGCAACTGCCATCACGTAGAACAATGAAGTTTGACACGAATGCCGGACATGTCAGTTCTGAAGTAACGTCATGTCCGAAGAAATCATCAATCCTCCTTTTCTCCATAAGGCTGACACCGCACCGGCAACTGCATTCCTGGCCGAGATCGAACTACCCCAATTCATTCGGAGCTTCTCCCTCTTCGTGCACCTACAAGAGAAGCTCCTGATCTGAGTCGAAAGAGTCCAGGACATGCTTGTGAAACAAGGTGCACCACCAAGAGTTCACACTTCAGCAAGGTGAGGCTTGACACAGCCTCCCCAAACAAAGTGGATTTCATGTGACCCAGACCTCATCAAATTGCCGCATGCAATGACCCAATGGGAAAATAAGTGATCATAACACTTGTCAAATGTCGGATCCTGATGCCACTTTGCATTCTCATAAGATCTTTGACATTTGACACAGAATAGAAAGGTAAGCAAACCTGCAGCTGTGTTGCATGGGCGCCTTCCAAATCACCAAATCTCGCCTACAGCGGCATTTTTTGAACGCATGGATCTGATTCACCAAGGTCGAGTGGTTGGTAGACCCTCCAATCCACAGTGTCTTTCCATCCAAAATAGCGTCCGACCCCGCAGGCGGCGACCCGTGGCGTCCTGGCACCTCTCAGGGCGCCCAAGGTGCCCGAGCGCTCGGGCAAGGGCGTGTGTTGTTCCTCAGATCTGACGAGGTCCCGCGCCGAAAAAAATCCGGATTTGAACTTGTTCCGCTCGTAGCGTCCGGACGCTCCTAGTAGTATTGGCCAACCTACTTGCGATGGCCTCCACCTAGTAGCTTCTTGCTACTAGTAGCTTCTTGTTCCTGCACATTGAAGACTAAGAAATGATGAATCAGAGCCCCTCATCTGAAAATGCGTGGGAGGTTTGATTCCTCAAGCATCTTGTGGTTTTCTCTATCTCAATCGGAAACAAACTCCCACTTGTAGCCGTCAGACTTGGAGACGCAGAAAACCATCCGCAGCCTGAGGCCACTGGCCCAGCGAACCATACCCGAAAGGCCTCGACCTTGGTCCGTGGGAGCAAATACGGGGCGGGGTTTCAGGGCGGCACCTTCAGGATGACCGCGTTGCGAAATCGAGTCTTTCCTAGTCTTGTGTGGTGGGGACATCTTCCACTTTCTTAAGCCTCATCATTCTTAAATACACCGTTGCCATCTTCGCGCGCGCGCGCGAAAAGGTTCTAGTAGCTTCTAGTTTTAATTCTAATCACATTCAAATTGGATTTAAATCAATTACACATCTATTTATTGTTTCTAATAGCAAACATTGTTCCTAGTAGTACGGCCAGGAGTCCCTAGTATCGTCCTTGTTACGTTCGGGCTTGGCCTTGCTCGGAGGCCTCTCATCGATGTCTGGGCAGCCCGAACCCAGGCCATCCAGCAAAGCTTTCACGCCAACACTGAGGCCATTGGAGGACCTTGGACTCGGAGTGGAGGACGAGCCTTCAAACCGCATTCCATATCCACCGTTCCTTTCAAAGTGTTTCAAAGTTTGGCTAGGTTTGCTTCTTTCCGCATGTGCAACGAGTGGTTCTATTTTAAATGGGGACCATTTTTGTGAGCTCACTAAAGCTGCTGCCACAAATGAAGTTGGGTTTCACAATGCTTCTTGGATCAAGGGAGATGTGTCCGATTCGCGTGAAGCCGCGCAAATGTGTAGCTTTCTGTGTTACACGGCGACAACTACAGCTGTCCAAGTTGAATGACATTCAAGCATTACAACGTTCATAACATCAAATAATCAGTAAATGCTGAATCACCTGGACCACATTCTGAATCCCATGGCGAAACGGAACCCATTCTCCGAAATTGGTTCGGAGTGGACTGTATACTTTCTTTGAAGCAGCTGCCCCTCAAATCAAAGACCACCCCGTTCAAACAGTGAGGGGACCCCGCTACATAAGGGACGTACCTCCAAATTGAGCTTGAGACGTCATGTCCAAATGCGTTGTAGAATGTTCACATCATGATGCAAATCGAAGCCCGCAAATTGCCTGGAGAGCTTTCACCCATGTCAAAGTGCTGGCCTTTGTATCCTTCCAAAAAGAGGCATGTGATCGCTTTGGACTTTGCAAGACGAGCACTTCTTAGCCAATGAGTTCACAAATTGACATCATGGGTTGAAAGGGGGGCAACGCCTTGTCATATGTTGGTACCCAAATCATATGTACAAGGCCATCCCCCATCCCACCACATCATATGCAGAAATTCGAGCCCACAATCTCCTACCAATCTTCAAATCACATCAACGCATCAATTCTTGAATTTGAAGTCGATTGGACTGCAAAAGGCAAGCCATGTGCCAAAAATCTATGTCTACAACTGCCAAATCTCATGGGTCTCATTCGTGTCTCTGTCAGCCATGTTCAAAACCATCCTTGATTGGTAGAACAAGCCCGGGCACCCTCTGACTCTGCACTGTTCCACCAGGGCCATGGACGACGATCCTTCGCTATACGAGGCCTCAGGCGAAAGAAACATGCCCTGTACCCTTAAGGGCTCTACCCCTCTACCTCGGATTCATTCATTTTACACATCGCGTACTTCGACTATCTAATCTGCTCCGGTGCTGGATTCAGAAATTCAAGCAAAATCATCAGAGGGGTTTGAGTGCTTGCAAGAAACATTCAGCACTCAGCCAGAAATTGAGTTGAAAGACCAGGAGGGCCTTGACCTCATTCATCTGCACAATTTTAGTAATGAAAATTGTGTTTGGAAAATACCTTGATAGGGTGGCTCACTACTTACATACCCCTAGATTTATTTAGCCAGTTTGCAACTCCGAATAGTGTACGTTGTAGGTGCGTTTGGCAGCGCAGCCAAAATCGATTGGGCATCTGACTGATCTGTTTTCATTTCTTTTATCGTTCTATCATCCACGTAACACCTCTATTGAGTAACTGTTGCTTTGTTTTCTTCGGCGCTTTGGTAGAGCCAGCACAAACAATGCGCAGTCGGAGAGCTGCTTCCCCCTACCTCCGTTGTAGAATGAATCCACCCTCTGGCGAGTCAATGAATCAACCCCCGGAGAATTATTGCACAACTTCAGGAAATGAATCCAAATGATGAATTCCAGAACTGAGAAGGGCCTTGGAGATTGACAGCCTGCGCGCTTGTCAGCCATTTTGGGCCTGACGAAGCTTTTACCCAGCTAGTGTTCTTCCTCTCTTGGAAAGCCTATATTCTGGAGTAGTTTCTCATGTCCCAAAAGATTCTACCTCTAGCATCTGGATGTATCTGAGCCAGCTTCTCCCACTACAAGGCCTTCTTGGAAATCACCATGGAGCTCTTTATGTTTTGAGTGACCCACGTGTCAAAACGAAACAAGCAACATCCTCTCCTATTAGCAGAAAACCATCCTGTTCACGGTTCAATAGTGCTCTTCCAATCCTCTTTTCATCCCTCATTTCGGTCACGAAAGCAGGTGTAACATGTCATCAAACTCTATCCGTTTTAGCTTCGCAAAACACTCACTCACTCACTCACTCCCCGAAGCGGCTGCAGGACTCGTGTCTCATCCCACTGCCCCCACTCTGATCCCGGTTTGGTCCCTGGCCGGAACCTTCGTTGGGAGATTCTGTCCTTGGTGCGTCAACAAGGGCCATCCAGGCGGCTTTCGCCCTCCGCAAAAACATTGGTGGCTTTGGTCATTCACACCGTAGACAACAAGAAAGAATCACATCATTAAGCATTCAATTTCAACCAAGAAGTCGAACGCATCTTTACCATACAGCAGTGTTCGACGGATCTCTGCTCTCCTCGACCGACGCGAAGCACCCATGGTTTCTCATGCCGGCCATCCGTCGACGGCCAACACCGCGAGGTGCGCCGGCGCCAGCTTCGGTTCTGCAGCTGAGAATCTTTTGGAGTGTGTGACTAGGCGGGCTGAAGTGGAACCATAGTTCAACATTGAAACACACCCAATCTATTTCCATCAGGGAATCAATAGGAAAAACCTCTGCAAAAGTCCAAAGTCAGCACAAAAAGAATGTGGCTTTCCAGTCTCATCGCATCCCTCACCAAGCGTCCCTCACCAGATCTCCACATTTTTCCCCACAATCTGTGCAACTCGACAACTGGACATGGATGCACCCTGTCCACTAATCGCCAAAGCCCAAGGGTTGACAAAGACACCTTCTGAGAAGAAGGATTTCTGGGTGGTCACAAGAAGCTACTAGTAACAAAGGGCATCGCTACTAGGAGCAAGGACGCTAGTAGGGGCACTCCTGGCCTTACTAGGAACAAGGGCGCTACTAGGAACAAAGGGCATCGCCCAAAAACATTTTAAGTGGATGCAATGCGCTGGGCAACCACCTGAATCCCATGCATTTTGGAAAACAACACTAACAGCGATGGCCTCCAATTTGGAAGGTATTGAAGGCGCCCAAATACCCTCAGATCTTGGCCTGAGCATGTCAGTTGCTTGGACAAAATGTGCCCTTCGAGCACGTGTGGTCCCAAGCCGGTTCGGAGCAATTGAAATTCGGATGGTCGGAGACCGAAAGTACTCTTGGAGCCATCCGTGTCTGCTCGTCGGCCGTTCAAAGATTGGTCGAACGAGGCCTGCAACAAGTCCTTCCAGGAGAATTCCGCAGGTGTCGCACGGATCTTTACATTGTGCTCTGCGCACGAATCGCCTTCGTTGCCGCCGTTTGGAGGTTGCGATGTTCCACTCAAAGCACAGCTTCTCGAAGCACAGTTCTTCTGAAAGTATAGCTCAGCTTCTTGACGTGACTCACCCTCAAAGCCAAGGGATGAGTTGTAGATCCCTTGCATCTACCGATTTGGAGGTTCATCTCACACAAAAGCTATCAGTGGTCGAAAGTTTGGAAACCGGTCGGAGACCGTGATTCCAACATGCCCAACAAAAGAGTACCTATATGGCAGTATATTTCAGTGAAGCCGTTGCCCCTTTTGTATAATCACAGGTCACCCCAAAACGCAGGAAAAAGCAAGTTGGACCGACATCGCGAGCCTGTCCAAGCGGCTGAAAATCTTCAAAAGATGCTTTATGATTAGAATTTGTGTAACACATGAGCTGGTGCACAAACTGGCGAATCTCATTTGCTTTGACTAGGAACAAGTGCATCGCTTCTAGTAACAAGTGCCTTACTAGTAGTAACAAGAAGCTAGTAGTAACAGGTGCATCGCTACTTTCGCTATCACCAGCTAGCTGTGAAAACCGGCAGTGAATCGATGTGAAAACCGTCCAAGCTTCGCGCCTCTCCCACCCAACCCTCACCGTCCTCACCCAACCTGTTTGCGCTGTTTTCAGGCAGCATGAACAACCCCGGGCCCCGTGGATGATGATGGTAAGTTGTAAAGGCTTTTTTCCCCCAAAGAGTGAGAATCTTTTGCCGGCTGTTACTAATAAGGGAACACATCCTACTAGGTACGTAAACAAAAGTAAAAAAGAAACGATGTCAGAACATGGATTCATGTCACAGAACGAGGAGAGACGATCCTGAGACGCGTGAACGAGGCTCGGTCTCTTGTTGTGCACCAGAACTCGCCATCCAACTCCACGCCAACACTTCGTTTGGGCGAGCTGAGGTGAACCTAACTACTGACCTACAAAGAGACTAGCGGCTAGCGACTGAGCAGCTCATCCAGGTCCAAAGAAACGACATGAAAGAAGAACCAGGTGCGATACCAGGCGATACCAAGCGATCAAGAAATAAGACACTCCAAAAGACTGCACTGAAATATACTGAAGCCGTCGAAACTCATAGAGAGGCCATGGGTGGCTGCCACTGGTCGGTACTTAAAGCCTCTCTGCTACTCTCCGTGCCAAAAGACTGCACGGAGCATTTTTTCCTGTCGCTGGCGACACTTCCTGTCTCGGACCTACGGTCCGAGACAGCCCACTTTCTGGAACAAAGGGTCCTCGCTATCGATGTTCGTTTGAACAAATATGGAACGTCTGCAACGTTGACTCGGGTGTCTACCCCAGTAGTTGTTTATAGTAAATTCATTTCACGACAGGCGGATGGTATTGAAACGCTTTGTATCGCCAGGATGAATCTCACTGGGTGCATCCGATGGGTCTGAAGGCCAATGCCTGCCAGGAACGGACCAAAGGCCTCTAACATACGCAACGGGCAGGGGCATATGTGCTGACTTGACATGAACATCGCACATATTAATGAAGTGATCCCCCTTTGTATCCTTTTGTCAGATTTCCACGGTCCTTTGAAAACGAGCCTAAACTTCCAACTGAGATGATCTTTGGTCCAACCAAGCCATGTGTTTCCATTTTCCACCTGTGGGTCTGGACTCCCGGTAGGGTTTGTAAACATCATTTCTGGCCAGCTCCAGCCGGCGAGACATGTCTGATCACTGTGAGGTATAAAACTCACACTGGTTTCTGCATTTTCAACTCTTTAGGAACAAGAAACTACTAGGAACAAAGGGCATCACTACTAGGAGCAAGGACGCTACTAGTAGCTGGCCTTACTACTAGTAACAAGAAGCTACTAGTGCCTTTTCCACTTCTTTGGGTGAACATCCAATCTTCTGCCCTGCCCCCAAGTCTGCTCACAGTTCAGCCTACGTCACCACAACGGTCTGATGCGCTGGCAAGCGCATGCTCGCGCCAAAGACCTCGAACGTTTTCGGAGGTGTAGACCCATCGGTATCGTTGGCACTCAAGACGCAAACGCAGGACTTGCTTTTCTTCGGAACCCTTTTGTCTTGAAGGATCTTCTTCACAGAGAGGCCATCGCTAGGGTGGAGGCCATCCCTAGTAGGGTGCAGCTGATAGATTGTGTAGTTGGTGTGCTGCTTGAAGAACACATTGGCCATCCCGGAGGTCGCAGCCCGATCGGACCGGTGCCGACGTTCTTCCAACGTCGCCATCGCTTTTGGGGCGATGCCTTTGGTCCCGTGGACCCAGAGACTCGGCGGCGAAGGTTTCGCCAAAGCGATGGCGATGGCGCGATGGTTCCCTACCCAGATGGCTTCGCAGATGGCTTCTCCCCCCTTGGCAGGAAACCATCAGAAAAAGGACGGCGTCTTCCAACCACCCGGTGTCTGGCGCCCAACGGCGTCTCCTTTGGCGTCTCCTTTGGTTTTTTCTTTTTCTGGGCATCCCGGCATTGATCGGAACAAAGGAGCGAGCAGATTGAGGATGCTGCAAGGAATTTCGACGCTTCGTTGGCATGTAGCTTCGCACTGGCACGTCCGCTGCGAGGACGGACACGCGACTTTGTAGCGCTCTATGGTAGCTACAAAATAGACTCTGTGTAGCGCTCTATGGTTGCATGAAGGAATCCAAACAAAGACTTGCCCAGAGCCCCCAGCAAGCAGATTCCAAAAAAGGTTCTTCTGCTTCATCCAATTAAGCAGAATGACATATTCAATACAGGACAGCAGGCGCAAACATGCTAAATGGATGTTTGTGGTTTTCAACAAATGCCAGAAAGCCTGCAAATGCCCTGGCACATTCCGCAACATGGACAAAAACCAAGAGGTTTCATGGTGTTGTTTACCATCAGTGATTTCAGGCGCAGAAGTCCCACACCCTGCAGGGAACCTTGTGAGTTTCCCCTTTCAAAACGTGTCCCAATTGTTGAACAGGAACGAACATGGTGTTTGTGTCTGAGCCTTGACATCCATGCTTCAGCTGGAGAGTAACACCTGCCTAATCACCTAAATGAAGCGCGAACTTTCTTTGGAGAGGTTTCTGGACTGTTATGACTTCATAGAGATGCTCAAAATGTGATTTGCGGCTACATAGATTGCAAGACACTTGTTATCCTCCATTGATTGCAGGTTCCTCCAACCTGTGCAATGCATATTTTCAATAGCGAAGCAGCCCAACCTTCAAATGAGGAAGCAAAGCAGTGATTAATATGAACCCAAAACTTCCAAAGCTTGGAAGTTATTTGATCCGATATGGGACCCGGTAGTCCTATCACATGATGAAAGCTTTAGCAACAGCGCCCTGGAGAGCGACGACATTAGTTTCCTAGAGAGACGTTCAATGATATATATTTGTATATACATACATGGAGGCCCCAAAATCCAGTAGTTGCAAGTAGACAAGGCCTTCGGTACACCTTCAAGCAATTTAAAGGGAGGTTCACTTCTTGCTCACGCTTTGTATGGACTTGTGCAGTTGCTTCTGACTCCTATGCACCGAGAGCTTCGGCCTGGAGAAATCTCCCTTGCTCGCGCCATCTGCGCGTTCAGCTGCGCGTTCAGCGGCGAGCTATACGAAGGAATTTGCGGCCTGCAACCGGGAAGGGAGCATTCTCCAGCTCGACAGGTTGGACAAGGAGGCTACTAGGGGCTCCTGGCATCGCTACTAGGAGCAAGGACGTTATTAGGGGCTCCTGGGATCGCTACTAGGAGCAAGGACGATACTAGGAACAAGGGCATCGCTACTAGGGTGGAGGCCATTCCTACTAGTAGCAAGACGGTACTCTAGACCTTTCTTGATAGACCCCTAGTAGCTTCTTGTTTCTAATAGCGATGGCCTCCAACCTAAGAGCGAGGTCGGAAAGCAGGTTGGAACATCCCGCACAAAGTCGCTCGAATGTTTCGGATCAGTGGATTGATTAGACATTTCGCCACCAGGG